TTAAAACATTAGCGATAACGAGGCTGATGAGTATGTAACGTAACATTGGATCTACTGTCGACGGTTTCCACTGTTGTATAAGCCAGAACGCCAGTTCAATTCCATATCATTAAAACATTAGCGATAACGAGGCTGGTGAGTATGTAACGTAACATTGGATCTACTGTCGACGGTTTCCACTGTTGTATAAGCCAGAACGCCAGTTCAATTCCATATCATTAAAACATTAGCGATAACGAGGCTGGTGAGTATGTAACGTAACATTGGATCTACTGTTGACGGTTTCCACTGTTGTATAAGCCAGAACGCCAGTTCAATTCCATATCATTAAAACATTAGCGATAACGAGGCTGGTGAGTATGTAACGTAACATTGGATCTTCTGTCAACGGTTTCCACTGTTGTATAAGCCAGAACGCCAGTTCAATTCCATATCATTAAAACATTAGCTGCATCACTAAATCAATAAGACCACTGATACCTTTAGATAACAGTAAAAGCTGACACAAAATAGCACAGTGACTGTGTTAACATGTTTACAGAAGATACAACAAAGAGAATAGTTATAGGAGTAAGTTTTTTATTATCTGGTCAATGGTTCAGCCTCAAGTGAGCTGTTACTGCTCTTGATTCAGCAGATGTTGCTGGGAAAATGTGAAATGTGCATAATTGTATTTACATTTAACATTACGGAAGTGACCTGGTGTTAATTCCAGACATCAACAATTTCACAAATACCAGAGAACATGCATAAGCAGTTTCAGCAGCATTATTTACAGTTCTAACAATTTCAATATTTATGATTAGCTAACATTGATACAACTTGATAAAAAAAAGTTTTGTTGTAATTTCTTTTCAAATTATTAAGTCATCTGACCGAAAGGTCTGATGACCTATTGCGATTGCCTTTTGTCCGGCGTCGTCCGGTGTCGTCCGGCGTCCGTCATATGTCGTCCGGCGTAAACATTTTCAACTTCTTCTCAAGTTTTACATATCTCATTGAGCTGAAACTTACCTGAAATGATCGTGACATGATCCTGACCAAAGTTTGTTAACTTTGGGTTGGTCCGAAATCCAACATGGCCGTCATCTTGAAAACACATTCTCGAATTCAAAATTTGAAATCTTGTATTTTATATCAGATGACCGTTAAGTCCCATGGGCCTCTTGTTATTATTCAACTTCATCAGGAACATTTAATACTCTGATATCCTGACAACTTCTACAGAAGATTTAGAGTGAAATAGAGTTTTAGAGAGCAAAGTGATATTCCTTTAAAAAAAAACCATATATGATATTCATCAATTTTATTTGAAATGTTTACCATGTAGAAACATATTTTGGTGATGAATTGACAGTAAAACTTCTGCTGTAAAATACACAGGCATCCAAGCTTGTTTTTATTAAAAATCCAATCAAGAAATTTTGTCAAATCTCAATCTCATATTAAGTCTATCACACAGTTAATTATTATAAATGCAAATGGTCATGATTGTAAATAAGCAGTACTTCTATTTGGGTTTTTTATGTATGATAAGTCTTGTTGGGATGTTTCCGTTACAAAGGTTATGAATCCTTCAAAACGTAGTGTGCCGGTAGGGCAAAGCTCGTTCAAGACTCGATAAAAAAAGATAAACTATAATTATTTTGCATGAAGAGCACAACCAAAAAAGTAGGTTCGTTTGCATGGTTGAAAACTGTTGACAATCAGTTTGTTACAGTGTAAATGTTGGCAATGACTGTATATTAACTTGTTATGATTAAACATCTATTCCCTGTCATTATACCCTGGAGATGACTTGTCTTCAGGTGTTTGACACTACATGTACCTAGACGAGATGCTCACCCTATCCCTTTGTGGGGAGGAGCTGTGTTTAACACGGAAGGTATTGTCAGACTTGCACCATGTGGTGCCAATAAATACATGTACAGTTGAAACTTGTTATCTCCAAATTCAAGGGACTGTGGAAAATATTTCAACTTAAGGAAATACGGGTTATTATAGCATAGTACATAGTGGTACAAACAGATTTAATCTGAAATTGCAGTAAATAAAGATAAATTGCTACTTTCTCCTTTTATCGTTACTTCATCAAAACATGTAACAAATCAACCACATTTACATTCACTTCATTTCGCCCCGCACACAAGTACAATAAATACCCTTACTGACCAAAACACAATTTTATTAGATATAATATTTAATGAAATAAAACTTGCTTTTGATAAACTACTAAAAACGATGTATGAAGCTGCAGATCGTATTATTACGATTATACTCTGATTAAATAAACATATGGCAAAAGAGACATGCTTTTACCTGTGGTAGAAAACATCATACAAGCACTAGACTTAACAAATCATGCACAAATAAAGATTCTATCGATGAAAAATACTTTCAGCACTTAATTGTCCAAACCCTAAAGTTCCCCGCCTCAGACTTATTTCATGTTATTTATGTGTTAATATGATTGAATCATGGCGATGAGAAAAAAAAATTGGTGAAAATAAAGTTAATTAGTGAAAAATAGTGTAATGCTTCACTTTACCATGGCCATGATGAAGTGAAGCCCCCCTGCCCCATCCTAAATTTCCCCAACGCAGACCTTTTTTAGCCCACCATCATCAGATGGTGGGGTATTTAAATCGCCCTGCGTCCGTGGTCCGTGGTCCGTCCGTCCGTAAACAATTCTTGTTACCACTATTTCTGGGAAAGTACTGGCTGGATCTTTCTCAAATTTCATATGCAGGTTCCCTTGATCCCTAGTTGTGCATTGTACCTTTTTTAGACTGATTTGAATTCAAGATGGCTGCTTGTCGGCCATCTTTTATTTTGAAAATAAAAGTTTGTTACCGCTATTTCTGAGAAAGTACTGGATGGATCTTTGTCAAATTTCATATGGAGCTTCCCCTTGGTCCCTAATTGTGCAGTGTACCTTTTTTGGACTGATGCGAAATCAAGATGGCTGACAGGCAGCCATCTTGGATTTTGAGAGTTAAATCTTGTTACCGCTATTTCTGAGGAAGTACTGGATGGATCCTTCTGATATTTCATATGTATTGGTTTCCCTTGGTCCCTAGATGTGCATTGTACCTTTTTTGGACTGATTTGAAATTAAGGTGGCCCACAGGCAGCCATCTTGGATGTCAACAGTAATACAGTAGTTTGTTATGGCTGTGACAGGATCCTTCTCAAATTTCATAGTTAGCTTCCTCTTGGTACCTAGTTAAGCATTGTCCCATATTTAAAATGATCTGAAAAACAAAATGGCCTATGGCTCTCCATCTTGGATTTGAACAGCGAGTGATTGATTTATGGCTATTTCTTACCTACATGATCAGTCATTCTCAAGTATCAGATTTTCTAAATGAAGTAAACATTGATAAATACACTGTTTAGGGTATGTATACTAAACCATGCAATGAATTGAGTTAATGGCATATGGGTTGAAACATGAGAAGTAATAGAAGAATTGATTTATTAAAAATGTCAATATTTCCTAATATTTAAGTGTTCGTGTTACAAAAACATTAATGTAATCAACTCTAAAATTCAAAATCAAAAAAAAAAAAAAAAAAATAGTTTTAAAAAACTTTGAACTTTTATTATACTTGTTGCGCTCTTGTACATGTGCATCATTTCATCATCATCATCATCATCATCATCATCATCATCATCATCATCATCATCATCATCATCATCATCATCATCATCATCATCATCATCACCATCATCATCATCACCATCATCACCATCATCACCATCATCATCATCATTATCATCATCATCATCATCATCATCATCATCATCACCATCACCATGAATTTAATAAGTATACAACTTAATAAATGGTGTTCATTTTATCACTATATCCCTATAAAAATATCTTGTGCCATCATTGAGTACATTCAAGACCAGTTCATGAACATTTACAACACCTGAAACAAAAACAAAAAAAATAAACAAATCTTCAAGAACTGAAAACAGATCCTCAAATGGTGGGTGCCAAGATCCCACTGGGATCTCTTGTTTTTATTATTAATGTGTTTATATGATTGAATAGCAAAAAAATTGTGAAAAAAAGTTTATTAGTAAGAAAATAGTGTAATGCTTCACTTTACCATGACCATGATGAAGTGTCTCTCCCCTCTCTGATCTGTGATAAAAAAATGACCAAAGACATACACAACATCCAGGGCTGACGTACAAACATTTGCATTTGACAATCCATGGAAGAAATAGAAGTAATTGTAAAAACTGCTTCTTATGCCGGGATGAAATATTTGATCAAATTTGGTCTAGAGCATCCTTGCATGAAAAGAAATCAGTTTTGTAGAAATGGAGAATCATTGATATAGCTCCCATGTGCAGAGTCAGATAGAAAAAATGAAAAAATACTTTGGATTCTTTTTCTTTAGTTGTTTTTAGGATTGAAAAACAAGAAAAAAACAAAAGACACAGCGCCTCTAAAAAGCATTTCAAATTTGTTTTCTTTTGGAAATTCCTAACTGTAAAATTCATCCGAAATATTTTGAATTGAGTGTTGAAATATACAGGTGAGTGGTGAGTGCCCTATGGGCCTTTTGTTATTCTTGAGGATTTTTTTTACTTTTTTTTTTCTGATTCTCTTTTATGGAACAAGAAGTCAGATTTGAAGCAAGTGCACTTTTTCCAGATGGAGAACAAATTTTATAACGATTAAGTGTGATTTAATTGTCAAACTCCTTAGGGGACAATTAAAGGTCATTTCACAACTAAGTGTTTTTGAAAGGTGGCTATAATTGCGAACAAGGCCTCAGCATTCCTTGTCTCAGGAGGGTTTCATTATAAATTGATGCTGAAGAAACACTGAAATGTGTCGTCTGATGAAGGAAATCCATGTGAATTTCATTACAAAGATTCGCTTTCAAACACTCATCATTTTCTTCCTAATCATTCCTCACAGATTAATTTTCTTTGTCCACACCAGGAACACCAGAATAAAGTTCACTTAGGTCAATTTAATAATTGCAAGAATCAAGGTTCACTATTGCTGAGATCAGGTTCACTGTTACTGTAGTCAGGTTCACTGTTGTTGTGGTCAGGTTCACTGTTGCTGAGATCAGTTTCACTGTTGCCGAGGTCAAATTCACTGTTGTTGTGGTCAGGTTCACTGTTGCTGTGGTCAGGTTCACTGTTGCTGAGGTCAGGTTCACTGTTGTTGTGGTCAGGTTTACTGTTGCTGTGGTCAGGTTCACTGTTGCTGAGGTCAAATTCACTGATGTTGTGGTCAGGTTCACTGTTGCTGTGGTCAGGTTCACTGTTGCTGAGGTCAGGTTCACTGTTGCTGTGGTCAGGTTCACTGCTGCTGTGGTCAGGTTCACTGTTGTTGAGGTCAGGTTCACTGTTGTTGAGGTCAGGTTCACTGTTGCTGTGGTCAGGTTCAATGTTGCTGTGGTCAGGTTCAATGTTGTTGTGGTCAGGTTCACTGTTGCTGTGGTCAGGTTCACTGTTGCTGTGGTCAGGTTCACTGTTGCTGTGGTCAGGTTCACTGTTGCTGTGGTCAGGTTCACTGTTGCTGTAACCAGGTTCACTGTTGTTGTGGTCAGGTTCACTGTTGCTGTGGTCAGGTTCACTGTTGCCAAGGTCAAATTCAATGTTGTTGTGGTCAGGTTTACTGTTGCTGTAACCAGGTTAACTGTTGCTGAGGTCAGGTTCACTGTTGCTGTGGTCAGGTTCACTGTTGCTGTAACCAGGTTCACTGTTGCTGAGGTCAGGTTCACTGTTGTTGTAGTCAGGTTCACTGTTGTTGTGGTCAGGTTCACTGTTGCTGAGGTCAGGTTCACTGTTGTTGTGGTCAGGTTCACTGTTGCTGTGGTCAGGTTCACTGTTGTTGTGACCAAGTTCACTGTTGCTGAGATCAGGTTCACAGTTGCTGTGGTCAGGTTCACTGTTGTTGTGGTCAGGTTCACTGTTGCTGTGGTCAGGTTCACTGTTGCTGTGGTCAGGTTCACTGTTGCTGTAACCAGGTTCACTGTTGCTGAGGTCAGGTTCACTGTTGTTGTAGTCAGGTTCACTGTTGTTGTGGTCAGGTTCACTGTTGCTGAGGTCAGGTTCACTGTTGTTGTGGTCAGGTTCACTGTTGCTGTGGTCAGGTTCACTGTTGTTGTGACCAAGTTCACTGTTGCTGAGATCAGGTTCACAGTTGCTGTGGTCAGGTTCACTGTTGTTGTGGTCAGGTTCACTGTTACTGTGGTCAGTTCACTGTTGCTGTAACCAGGTTCACTGTTGCTGTAACCAGGTTCACTGTTGTTGTGGTCAGGTTCACTGTTGCTGTGGTCAGGTTCACTGTTGCTGAGGTCAGGTTCACTGTTGTTGTGGTCAGTTCACTGTTGCTGTGGTCAGGTTCAATGTTGCTGTGACCAGGTTCAGTGTTGCTGAGGTCAGGTTCACTGTCGCTGTGGTCAGGTTCACTGCTGCTCCGGTCAGGTTCACTGTTGCTGAGGTCAGGTTCACTGTTGTTGTGATCAGGTTCACTGTTGCTGTGGTCAGGTTCTATGTTGTTGTGGTCAGGTTCACTGTTGCTGTGACCAGGTTCACTGTTGCTGTGGTCAGGTTCACTGTTGTTGTGGTCAGGTTAACTGTTGTTGTGGTCAGGTTCTGTGTTGTTGTGGTCAGGTTCACTGTTGCTGTGGTCAGATTCACTATTTATAAAATCAAATTCACTGTTGTTGTGGTCAGGTTCACCGTTGCTGTGGTCAGGTTCACTGTCTGTCTGTCTGTTCGTCCATCCATCCATCCATCCATCCATCCATCCATCTGTCCAGGATGGTTGGCCACTGTGCCATGGTAACCAGGTCACTGTATGCAGCTTTTTATGGAAAAACTTATCTTAAACCTGAAAATTGTTTTTAGTGAAACTATACAAGAATTTTAAGGACCATGTTTAGATGTGCATGCAGTTTATTTTAGCTGAAATTTAGGTTGCCATGGTGATCAGGTCACAGGTTTTTATCTAATGGCAGAAACTCATCAATTCTTCAATCAATTTCATTGAAGCCTGGTGTAATGGGTCATCTTATCAATGCATGTAATTTGACACATCAGCAAGGTGTTTCCGGAACCGTTACTATGGATTATGATGAAGGCTTCTGTTTGGTAGAAATTGAGATAATGTCTGATTCTGCTGAACGGTTTAGAGGGAAGGCAATGTCATTTGGTTGCTATGGTAACCACATGTGACCCATGATCAAACAGATCTTTCCCAGACTTCTCCCTATGTTCAATGAAACTATACAGGGATGTTAGTGACTTAAGTATAGATGTGCAAATGTGCATGCAGCTATCTAGCATAAATTTGGCTTGCCATTGTAAGGAGGTCACTATACACATGCATATAAAGTGTCATACTAATCCTTAGCCCTTTCATGGATTTATTCAAACTTGATCAAATGATGTTTGATTGCAATTTTCAAATCATTTAGTATACAATTTTAATTGGTTCTACATGATTTAGTCACAAACACGTTGTATTCATTAAAACCAGTTTATGATGTCTTGTACTGGTGCTCAATTTTTTCCCCATTCTGCCGATTTTTTTAATTTTTGGTTTCGTCCACGTATTAGCTGCATTGGCATATAAGCCGCAATCTGTCTCACAAGGGAAAAAGTCACTTCTTACAAGCGGGAAAATACTGTAGTTGTATAGTAATATACAGGATAAGTGCTGATTTGGTTCGGAGTTTTGGCCTTTTTAAACTTTCAGAAATTTGAATAACACTTTTCACAAAAATTGTATGACCAATATTGGAAAGCCCTGGCAAACTACAGTGGAAATTTACCAACACCTTTTAACAAATTGTGAATAATACTAGAAATGTTTCAAATGTTTTTTTGAAAAATGAAATTTCTTTGTTGGTTTGCTCACATACCTTCTTGTTCATTGTTCTATATTAATTCTGTTTTTAGTTTAATGGTTTGTCTCTTCAACTTTTTGATCATGGATCCAAATTCTTTTTTTTATAAAGTGGTTGGACCCCATCCTAAATCAGGAGATTCCACCAATATTGTTGTATGGAGCTTGGTTTGTGCATGTATCACAGTGTTTGGTCTAGGACTTGCCACCTGTAAGTTCTTCAGGTAAGTCAGAGGACATTGAGAAATTTATACAGGTGAGTTGGCATACAAACTGGTATTTACATAGGTAAGTCAAGGTTACAGAGATAAAAACATGGGTACATCATAGTACAGATGGGTATTTGCATGTGTAAGTCAGGGTACTGACCAGTAACTATACAGGTAAGTCAGGGTACTGACCTGTAATTATACAGGTAAGACAGGGTACTGACTAGTAATTATACAGGTAAGTCAGGGTACTGACCTGTAATTATACAGGTAAGACAGGGTAATGACTAGTAATTATACAGGTAAGTCAGGGTACTGACTAGTAATTATACAGGTAAGACAGGGTACTGACCAGTAATTATACAGGTAAATCAGGGTACTGACCAGTAATTATACAGGTAAGTCAGGGTACTGACCAGTACTCATACAGGTAAGTCAGGGTGCTGACCAGTAATTATACAGGTAAGTCAGGGTACTGACCAGTAATTATACAGGTAAGACAGGGTACTGACTAGTAATTATACAGGTAAGTCAGGGTACTGACCTGTAATTATACAGGTAAGACAGGGTACTGACCAGTAATTATACAGGTAAGACAGGGTACTGACCAGTAATTATACAGGTAAGTCAGGGTACTGACCTGTAATTATGCAGGTAAGTCAGGGTACTGACCTGTAATTATACAGGTAAGTCAGGGTACTGACCAGTAATTATACAGGTAAGACAGGGTACTGACTAGTAATTATACAGGTAAGTCAGGGTACTGACCTGTAATTATACAGGTAAGTCAGGGTACTGACTAGTAATTATACAGGTAAGACAGGGTACTGACCAGTAATTATACAGGTAAATCAGGGTACTGACCAGTAATTATACAGGTAAGTCAGGGTACTGACCAGTACTCATACAGGTAAGTCAGGGTGCTGACCAGTAATTATACAGGTAAGTCAGGGTACTGACCAGTAATTATACAGGTAAGACAGGGTACTGACTAGTAATTATACAGGTAAGTCAGGGTACTGACTGTAATTATACAGGTAAGACAGGGTACTGACAGGTAATTATACAGGTAAGACAGGGTACTGACCAGTAATTATACAGGTAAGTCAGGGTACTGACCTGTAATTATGCAGGTAAGTCAGGGTACTGACCTGTAATTATACAGGTAAGACAGGGTACTGACCAGTAATTATACAGGTAAGACAGGGTACTGACCAGTAATTATACAGGTAAGACAGGGTACTGACCAGTAATTATACAGGTAAGACAGGGTACTGACCAGTAATTATACAGGTAAGACAGGGTACTGACCTGTAATTATACAGGTAAGACAGGGTACTGACCAGTAATTATACAGGTAAGACAGGGTACTGACCAGTAATTATACAGGTAAGACAGGGTACTGACCAGTAATTATACAGGTAAATCAGGGTACTGACCAGTAATTATACAGGTAAGTCAGGGTACTGACCAGTACTCATACAGGTAAGTCAGGGTACTGACCAGTAATTATACAGGTAAGTCAGGGTACTGACCAGTAATTATACAGGTAAGACAGGGTACTGACTAGTAATTATACAGGTAAGTCAGGGTACTGACCTGTAATTATACAGGTAAGACAGGGTACTGACTAGTAATTATACCGGTAAGACAGGGTACTGACCAGTAATTATACAGGTAAATCAGGGTACTGACCAGTAATTATACAGGTAAGTCAGGGTACTGACTAGTAATTATACAGGTAAGTCAGGGTACTGACCAGTACTCATACAGGTAAGTCAGGGTGCTGACCAGTAATTATACAGGTAAGACAGGGTACTGACCAGTAATTATACAGGTAAGTCAGGGTACTGACCAGTAATTATACAGGTAAAACAGGGTACTGACCAGTAATTCTACAGGTAAGACAGGGTACTGACCAGTAATTATACAGGTAAAACAGGGTACTGACCAGTAATTATATGGGTAAGACAGGGTACTGACCAGTAATTATACAGGTAAATCAGGGTACTAACAGATATTCAGGGTAATAGTGTTACGGCCTTACTGATCAGCTGCTCTGTTATTGTGTTAATACAGTTTTTATCATCTTTCTATAGTTTATTATGATTGGACATGCAGAGGTATTCTCTGACAAGGTCTTGTCTCTGGTGACACATTTCATGGTACTTAGAATAGCCTGTTTGATCCTCAATTACTTCCTGTTTTCATGTTTGAATCTGAGATTGTAATAGTTGGAACAGAAGTGGTCTATACTCTTCTACTTTACAGCTGAAGAGGATGATGAGAAATTCTATCTTATCACCATGGAAACTTTTGTAAAATATTGACCAAGGCTTTATAGAGATTAAAAGGGATGACATGACCTGGAAATGTGATACAGCCGATTTTGATTGGTTTACACTCTTTAAACAACAAATTTCATACCTGCCATACATGACAGGTCAGCAAAAATTACATGTGAGAAAGTCACTAGAATTATCTGTGGGTAGGAGGACATGTGAGAAAGTCACTAGAATTATCTGTGGGTAGGGGACATGTGAGAAAGTCACTAGAATTATCTGTAGGTAGGGAGACATGTGAGAAAGTCACTAGAATTATCTGTGGGTAAGAGGACATGTGAGAAAGTCACTAGAATTATCTGTGGGTGGGGGGACATGTGAGAAAGTCACTAGAATTATCTGTGGGGAGGGGACATGTGAGAAAGTCACTAGAATTATCTGTGGGTGGGGGGACATGTGAGAAAGTCACTAGAATTATCTGTGGGTAGGAGGACATGTGAGAAAGTCACTAGAATTATCTGTGGGTAGGGGACATGTGAGAAAGTCACTAGAATTATCTGTGGGGAGGGGACATGTGAGAAAGTCACTAGAATTATCTGTGGGTAGGGGACATGTGAGAAAGTCACTAGAATTATCTGTGGTTGGGGGGACATTTGAGAAAGTCACTAGAATTATCTGTAGGTAGGGGACATGTGAGAAAGTCACTAGAATTATCTGTGGGTAGGGGGACATGTGAGAAAGTCACTAGAATCATCTGTGGGTGGGGGGACATGTGAGAAAGTCACTAGAATTATCTGTAGGTAGGGGATATGTGAGAAAGTCACTAGAATTATCTGTGGGTAGGGGACATGTGAGAAAGTCACTAGAATTATCTGTGGGTAGGGGACATGTGAGAAAGTCACTAGAATTATCTGTGGGTAGGGGACATGTAAGAAAGTCACTAGAATTATTTTGTCAGTATTGGTTTTTTTATTTCAACTTTCAGCATTTAACCAATTCTTATTATCACTATTTCATATGAGGTTTAGGCCTTTATCAAATTTTTTATGTAATTTTCCCTTGCAAACTTACATGGTCTCTTGTTGTGCCAATTTGATTTTGGGACTGATCCAAAAAACAAATGGCTGACATGCGGCCATCTTGGATTTTGACACTGAATGTTTATATAAATATTTCTTAATGAAATACTGGATAGATATTTTTCAGATTTCATACATAGGTTCCACATACTCCATGGTTGAGTTGTTTTGATTCTTGGATTTATTAGGAAAGCAAAATGGTTGACTAGCAACCATTTAGCCCATCATATATAAGAAAAAAAAAATGATCAGAACTGATGTAGCCATGAGTTAAAAAGTCCTCTTGTTCATACTAGGTTAACCAGATAAATTTGATATTCACAATGATTGAGATTATCTATAAATAGAAATGGATTTGTTGAAATTACGATGTATTGTTTTATTTGTTTGTCCTGCTAATGAAGTATGCGTTTTGTTTTATGATTTTCAACAGAGACCAGTATGAGAAACCAGAAAACAAGCTGAAACGAAAGAAGCGATCAGAAGTAGAGAAAAAAGGTAGGAAAAGGGATATTTGGTGAATAGTGCTGGAGTAAATGTTACAACTGTTATGATGATTACTGGGTTGAAAGATTAAATGTCACATGATGGTCACTGGGGTGAAATATGTTATTACTGCCCTGATGGTCACTGGGGTGAAAGGTTAAAACTGTCACATAATGGGTTGGAATTTAAAACTGTTACATGGAGATCACAAAAGGATGAATGACTGAAGTTGTCATATGATAGACACTGGGGTGAAATGTTAAAACTGGCATATAATGATAATTGCTCTGGAAGGTGAAAGCAGTGACAATCACATGCTCATCACTAGGGGACAAGTTGAATCTATCAAATAATCATTACAGGATTGAAAGATGACATCAAAAGTAATGATTGATCAGGTGAAAGTTAGCTAACAGTCATATGATAATCACTTACTTGAAACAGGGAAGCAATCAGTCTGCTCAAATGTGATCAGACTGTTACAACAAGATGGATATTCCTCAGATCTTTTATGTAGGATAGTTATGGTGAAATTCTTGACTGGTTGGAGAAACAAAATGGCTGAAAAACAGCCCTTTGGAATTCTTATCGATCAGTGTAAATTGTAAATGCAAAAAAAAAAAAAAAACAGCTCAACAAAATAGCTAAATTTACAAATAACATAGACTATAATGATGGACAGGACTAACATAGACTATAATGATGGACAGGACTAACATAGACTATAATGATAGACAGGACTAACATAGACTATAATGATGGACAGGACTAACATAGACTATAATGATGGACAGGACTAACATAGACTATAATGATGATGGTGGACAGGACTAACATAGACTATAATGATGGACAGGACTGATGATGGTGGACAGGACTAACATAGACTATAATGATGGACAGGACTAACATAGACTATAATGATGGACAGGACTAACATAGACTATAATGATGGACAGGACTAACATAGACTGTAATGATGGACAGGACTAACTAACATAGAGGCTATAATGATGATAGTGGACAGGACTAACATAGACTATAATGATGGACAGGACTAACATAGACTGTAATGATGGACAGGACTAACATAGACTATAATGATGGACAGGTCTAACATAGACTATAATGATGGACAGGACTAACATAGACTATAATGATGGACAGGACTAACATAGACTATAATGATGGACAGGACTAACATAGACTATAATGATGGACAGGACTAACATAGACTATAATGATAGACAGGACTAACATAGACTATAATGATGGACAGGACTAACATAGACTATAATGATGGACAGGACTAACATAGACTATAATGATGGACAGGACTAACATAGACTATAATGATGATGGTGGACAGGACTAACATAGACTATAATGATGGACAGGACTAACATAGGCTATAATGATGATGGTGGACAGGACTAACATAGACTATAATGATGGACAGGACTAACATAGACTATAATGATAGACAGGACTAACATAGACTATAATGATAGACAGGACTAACATAGACTATAATGATGGACAGGACTGACATAGACTATAATGATGGACAGGACTAACATAGACTATAATGATGATGGTGGACAGGACTAACATAGACTATAATGATGGACAGGACTAACATAGACTATAATGATAGACAGGACTAACATAGACTATAATGATGGACAGGACTAACATAGACTATAATGATAGACAGGACTAACATAGACTATAATGATGGACAGGACTGACATAGACTATAATGATGGACAGGACTAACATAGACTATAATGATAGACAGGACTAACATAGACTATAATGATGGACAGGACTAACATAGACTGTAATGATGGACAGGACTAACATAGACTATAATGATGGACAGGACTAACATAGACTGTAATGATGGACAGGACTAACATAGACTATAATGGTGGACAGGACTAACATAGACTATAATGATGGACAGGACTAACATAGACTATAATGATGATGGTGGACAGGACTAACATAGACTATAATGATGGACAGGACTAACATAGACTATAATGATGGACAGGACTAACATAGACTATAATGATGGACAGGACTAACATAGACTATAATGATGGACAGGACTAACATAGACTGTAATGATGGACAGGACTAACATAGACTATAATGATGGACAGGACTAACATAGACTATAATGATGGACAGGACTAACATAGACTATAATGATGGACAGGACTAACATAGACTATAATGATGGACAGGACTAACATAGACTATAATTATGGACAGGACTAACATAGACTATAATGATGGACAGGACTAACATAGACTATAATGATGGACAGGACTAACATAGACTATAATGATGATGGTGGACAGGACTAACATAGACTATAATGATGGACAGGACTAACATAGACTATAATGATAGACAGGACTAACATAGACTATAATGATGGACAGGACTAACATAGACTATAATGATAGACAGGACTAACATAGACTATAATGATGGACAGGACTAACATAGACTATAATGATGGACAGGACTAACATAGACTATAATGATGGACAGGACTAACATAGACTATAATGATAGACAGGACTAACATAGACTATAATGATGGACAGGACTAACATAGACTATAATGATGGACAGGACTAACATAGACTATAATGATGATGGTGGACAGGACTAACATAGACTATAATGATGGACAGGACTAACATAGGCTATAATGATGATAGTGGACAGGACTAACATAGACTATAATGATGGACAGGACTAACATAGACTATAATGATGGACAGGACTAACATAGACTATAATGATGGACAGGACTAACATAGACTATAATGATGGACAGGACTAACATAGACTATAATGATGGACAGGACTAACATACACTGTAATGATGGACAGGACTGACATAGACTATAATGATGGACAGGACTAACATAGACTATAATGATGGACAGGACTAACATAGACTATAATGATGGACAGGACTAACATAGACTATAATGATAGACAGGACTAACATAGACTATAATGATGATGGTGGACAGGACTAACATAGACTATAATGATGGACAGGACTAACATAGACTATAATGATGGACAGGACTAACATACACTGTAATGATGGACAGGACTGACATAGACTATAATGATGGACAGGACTAACATAGACTATAATGATGGACAGGACTAACATAGACTATAATGATGATGGTGGACAGGACTAACATAGACTGTAATGATGGACAGGACTAACATAGGCTATAATGATGGACAGGACTAACATAGACTTTAATGATGGACAGGACTAACATAGACTATAGTGATGGACAGGACTAACATAGACTATAATGATAGACAGGACTAACATAGACTATAATGATGGACAGGACTAACATAGACTATAATGATGGACAGGACTAACATAGACTATAATGATGATGGTGGACAGGACTAACATAGACTATAATGATGGACAGGACTAACATAGACTATAATGATGGACAGGACTAACATAGACTATAATGATGGACAGGACTAACATAGACTATAATGATGGACAGGACTAACATAGACTGTAATGATGGACAGGACTAACATAGACTTTAATGATGGACAGGACTAACATAGACTATAGTGATGGACAGGACTAACATAGACTATAATGATGGACAGGACTAACATAGACTATAATGATGGACAGGACTAACATAGACTATAATGATGGACAGGACTAACATAGACTGTAATGATGGACAGGACTAACATAGACTATAATGATGGACAGGGCTAACATAGACTATAATGATGATAGTGGACAGGACTAACATAGACTATAATGATGGACAGGACTAACATAGACTATAATGATGGACAGGACTAACATAGACTGTAATGATGGGCAGGACTAACATAGACTATAATGATGGACAGGTCTAACATAGACTATAATGATGGACAGGACTAACATAGACTATAATGATGGACAGGACTAACATAGACTATAATGATGGACAGGACTAACATAGACTATAATGATGGACAGGACTAACATAGACTGTAATGATGGACAGGACTAACATAGACTGTAATGATGGACAGGACTAACATAGACTATAATGATGGACAGGACTAACATAGACTGTAATTATGGACAGGACTAACATAGACTATAGTGATGGACAGGACTAACATAGACTATAATGATGGACAGGACTAACATAGACTGTAATGATGGACAGGACTAACATAGACTATAATGATGGACAGGACTAACATAGACTGTAATGATGGACAGGACTAACATAGACTATAATGATGGACAGGACTAACATAGACTATAATGATGGACAGGACTAACATAGACTGTAATGATGGACAGGACTAACATAGACTATAATGATGGACAGGACTAACATAGACTGTAATGATGGACAGGACTAACATAGACTGTAATTATGGACAGGACTAACATAGACTATAGTGATGGACAGGACTAACATAGACTATAATGATGGACAGGACTAACATAGACTATAATGATGGACAGGACTAACATAGACTGTAATGATGGACAGGACTAACATAGACTGTAATGATGGACAGGACTAACATAGACTATAATGATGGACAGGACTAACATAGACTATAATGATGGACAGGACTAACATAGACTATAATGATGGACAGGACTAACATAGACTGTAATGATGGA